AGTGGACTCCTGGTCATTTGAGATTTCCAATGGTAAATTTAGACTTCCAAAATCAAATACCTGTAGCATCAGGGATCCTGAGCCCCTCTGAGGGGCTTTGTGGCCTTTCACTCTGGCCTTTAGTGGGTGGTGGACACAGTTGGCCTGGTCTCCACTGACTCTGGGAGTTCCCTAACACTGACTTCCTCACATCTGGGTGTCCCTACCACACCACAAATGCCACAGTTCCCTGCCAAGTATACACACTCCAGAGGCCCCTCCATGTTGATACATTCCAGGCCCCTGGAGGAGGGAGAAGTTGAGAGAATGGAGGGAGCTGCAGGGTGAGAGGCGGCCAGCACTCAGCACTGCTGGCCAGATGCCCAGTGCCAGCAGCAGTGACCCCTTTTGGGTATGACAGCCCCTCTTGCTGCCCCACCAAGGGAGAGACACCTGGCAATGCCCCTGGGCCACGAAACACTCCTCTCGAACAGCCAGATCCCTTACCCTGTGCTCACTCTGACCTGACCCTGGCCTGGTCTGGCCTAGCCTGGCCTGAGGGACTCTCCCTGGGGCCAGCAGGGGGTCAGACATGATGTTTCAGTCATGCCCCCCTCCTCCACACATACTCCCTTCCTCCCTGCTGTCATTACCCAAATCCCAGCCGCCAGCCAGGCAGGCTCACCGGTCTCAGTCTGTCTATCCCTTATTCTAGCCCCAAAACTACCCTGAGCCCACTCTAACCAAGGCCCCAATGTGTGCCCAAGTGTTTTATTATCCTCTCTACTTAGAGTTGCAGGGAGTTAAGCCACTCTCAGTCCTTTAGCCTTCAGCAGTTCCCTTTAGCCTGGAACCTGGAACCTAAATGCCAGCCCAGGCTCCTCTTCCCAAGGAGGTAACACTCAAAAGAACTTGAGCTAGGAGTACTGGCTGCCCATCCCTGGCCCCCTGGCAGTGGCAGTGAGGTGAGGGTTTCGGGGGGTGGGGGTCCCTCAGTACCTCAGTGGCTGGCTTGGGCTCTGGCCTTGCCCTTGGCTAGCTTCCAGACTAGGTCCCTCCAGGGATGCTTCTGGAGTTGCATCTTCCTCCGGGGCCTGCAGCCACTGAAGCTCCTCTGGCTGCAGAGCCTGGTACCAGGGTGGGGGGCCACCTTCAGGGGCCAGCACAGGGCTGGCAGCCTCCTGATCAGTCCCACAGGTCCCTCTGACTCCTGGTCTCCCCATGGCCCCTGGGAGCTGCAGGAAACGCTGCATTGGGCCCCAGGTCCTGCTCCAAGACTAGGACTAAGGTGGCCAGGTATCTGGGGCTGCCTGTACCTGTTGCCAGACTGCCTGGCCCTGAAACTCAGTAACCAGACACCGGCCAGAAGGGAGGCTCTGGTTTCCTCTTCAGTGCTCAGAGACAAGGCTGCAGGAGGGACAGAGGGCGGGGAATGGGGAACAAGTCTGCCCCAATCTCTGCGCAGAGGACTGGGTCAGCAGAGTTGGCACAGAGGTAGGAATGCTCTCTTCACCTCCCATCATGCAGCCACAGCTGGACCTTGGCTTCCTCGTACTGCTCCTCCCATCCCACTCACTCTGACCCTGAGCTTCTTGAGCCTCATCTGCCTCTCTAGAGGCAGGTTCTTTGTTTTGTTTTATTTTGTTTTGTTTTGTTTTTGAGACAGGGTTTCACTAAGTTACCCATGCGGGGCTCAAGCTTGGCATCTTCCTGCCTCACCCTTCCAGTGTGCCAGGGTTACAGGCATGCAATATTTTCCTTCTTTCCAGCTTTTGCTTATTTCTGCTTCCCCCCTACCAGGCACGACAGCCCACCCTCTGACTGCTCTCACACACATCTTAGTCCACTGCCCCACTGCCCTCCCCTGCCCCTGCCCCTCCAGTTGTGGTTGGCTTTATTCATCACAGACACACCCAAGTCCCTACCCATAGCCACACCCTTGCTCTTACAGCCTTACTGCCAGGTCCTTGTAGAAAATGAAGGCTTTCTTTAGTTAAGATCCCCTGCCCCAGACTCTCACACATCTGCATCTATGTTCTGTTCTTCCTCCTCCCTCCAGCAGAGCTGGTCCTCCCTGGACCAGTGAAAGCCTCCTTTGCCATCATTCAGGGACCTGTCACCTGCCCGCCTTCCAATCTCTCTCATGCTACTGCCTCCTTCCTACCAGCAAGTAAACTTGTCCTGGGCTTTCCCAACAAGACAATAAATATTTCCTTGAATGGATGATCTCTAGCCAACTCTTTCCTTTATCGTCAAATTTCTTAAAAGCAAAGTTCCCATTCACTGTTTTATTTACTCACCTCTTATTTGCTTCTTCATTTACTTCACCCTGGCTTTAGATGCCGACTTGGAATTTAGGGCTGAATGATCATGATCTCTGCAATTTACATGGTTCAGCCAAAAATAGGGATAAATGGTTAGATAAAGCAAGTGAGGTAAATGTCAACGATGGGTGAATGTAGGTGGATGCATACACATTCACTGCATTATTCAATCAATTTCTCTGAATGTTTAAAGCCATTCATAATAGAATTCTGGGAGGAATAATATAGTTCCTTTCCCTTCAGCTTGCCAGAGTCAGTCTCCCAGGGCAGGAGGTGGGATGTGGAACGGGAAGTTGACTATATCCAGTCATCTTGAATTCCCTGTTTTGTTTAACTTGACCTTAGTAGGCTCTGGTACTACTTACCATTCCTTCCTTCTCAACATTCTATTTTATTTTCTTCCTGACTTTTGGATCACATCTCAGGTAACTTTCGGCACTCCCTGGCTCTCTGGTTGCCCCTAATGTTAGTTTCTGCAGGATTCAGACTTGTATCCTGTCTGAACTCATTTTTCACAGTCTCTTTGACTTGTTTTCACTGTTTTCTGTGGCTTTAATTAACACGTGTATGTTAACAACTTCCTCCTCCCTCTCCTGGAATCTAAATCCTTATAATATGAGGATATCTACTAGACTTGAACATCCTTCCAGTTACAATTTTACCATGCCCAAAGCTAGGCTCAACATAACCTTCCCCCAAAGTTGCCTGTAACATCTTTGTGTCCAGTTACACTGAATAGCACCCCCACTTATCCAGCTGTAAGAACGAGCAATCTGGTACCATCCTTTATCTCTCCCAGCCTCTCTCTCATCCCTGCCCCATATGCAAGCATCAAGTCAGGTCTTGGGTTTCCCCCTCCTCGGTACTGTCGTCCTGAACTCCTGTGTCACCTGCACACCCCCATCACTCATCTCTTCATCTACCCAGCTCCTCCAATCTCTCACAGTCTGCCCCGTGATCCTTCTACATCCCAGGCCGACGTTGGCATCTGCTTAAAATCCTTCAGTGGTCTCTTTACCCTCCTTTCTGGTCACTCCAGTGGTGTACACAGACCACACCGTAGGATTTCCTACAAACCTATGACTGAGCTCTTCATTTTTGTCCTGGATTCATGTGTCCACCTCTGTCCCCTGCCCTCAGCCTCCACTCTCCCTCCGCATCCTTCCAGACTGAACTGTCCCTACTGCTTCACCCTGCACCCCTCTAGAGGAGCCTGATGACAAGGACGGCCTCGAATTCACAGCTGTATTCACAGACCAGTGCGGGGCTCCACAAGGCAAACCTTTAATAAACACGAATAATCAGATGAAGGGAGGAAGAGTCAAAGGTGGGGGAAGGTTTGTTAACACAGGAACAGGCTGCAGGCCCAGGCGAGGCCAGGGATGTGTGCTGGGGGAGCGGCCCCAGGACGAATCCGTGGAGGAGCCAGGCCTGGGAGGAGCCAGGCCTGGGCGCCGCCGCCACGCCACGCTGTGGGATCTGGGGGTGCTATCACAGCCAGCCTGCCCAGCGAGAAGGCCAGGTCGACCGGAAGACCCGGGGACACCGGGCCCAGGCCCCACCCGGCCGGGCCCGAGGACAGGGGGCCCGCGGTGGGGCCGGCGCTGTCCATGGTGCCCGCCGCCCGCGCTCACCGCTTGTAGTCGGAGGAGAAGATGCCGCCGCTCGCCGGGTCGTGGCCGTACTCGGGCTCGCCGGGGCCGGCAGAGCCGCCCTTGTCCTCGCTGTAGGCGGGGGCGGCCGACATGGGGCGGCCGGGGCGGGGTCCGGGTTAGGGGCGCAGGGCGCGGGAGGCTCAGCGGTGAATCGGGGCAGCAGCGCGCAGATTGAGACCCAGCCGAGCGCCGAGGTTCTTAAAGGCGCCGGTGCCCGGAGCGCACGCGTGCGACCGGGGCGGGCGGGTACCCGCAGCGACGTCGGCCCGGCCCCGCCCCGCCGCCCAGAAATCCCCTTTTGAGGGGATGGTTCCTGCCCTTTAAAGGGACTTCGCGCCTCTCCAGGACTGGGGGGCAAGGGGATGCTGACCTCCAGCCCCAACTCAGCCAGACCACCTGGCCTGGGCGGGAAGGTCATGCAGCAGAGGAGAAGGGGTTGGGGGACAGTGCACCTGAAGACTGGTCAAAGACACAAAGATGTGTAAATCTAGGCCTCACTGAGGGCAGCATCCCACTGTTCAAAAAGGAAGCTGAGAGGCTTCAAAGAGCCGACAAAATTTAAGGGCACTGTGGTCCAGGAGCACCAAGGAAGCCTAAGGGGACCTTGGGCAGCGAGGTTGGGGTAGGTTAGAAAGGACAAGAAGAATGACGCTTTGGAAATACTTTAATGATCTTTCCTGAACATCCCTCCTGCCCACCCAGGAGGGCCTACGATCAGCCTAGTCCATGGTTGGGTCCAGATCCACCACCTCCTGGGAAGGAAGAGAAAGAGACCCCGTCAGGCTGGGTGCAAAGCCAGTACTTCTGGCTGGTGGGATGCATTTGCATCAGCTCCAAAGACCCAAGGTTCAACAAGGTCCAAATGAAGAAGGCCTGATCAGAGCAAAGCGGTCGCCAGGGCTGGGCGAGGTGTGGGATCCAGTTGGGCTGGAGGGATGAGTGCCAGAGCCTCTTAGCTGGGCTAGGGGAGTGGAACAGCCACTTGTTTTGGCCTTGGGTACTGAATTTCAGTCTGTGGAGTGGGATTCCCAAGTCTCCGTGGCTAGAACTGGTGGGCCTGGCAGGTAATGGGTGTGGGACCCAGAACTCTGGACCTTGACTCGGTAGGAAGGTTCTGGTTCAGATAGAGTGATGGTGAGGCTGCCCAGAATCTGGCTTGCAGATTGACAGGCAGAAGAACATGCCGGTGGCCAGGATATGCAAGCTGGGGGACGTCCAGAGAGATTTTGGAGAGGTGAACCCTTAAATGGTCAGGTTGTGTGCTTCTGGAGGCTTCATGCCAGGCAGAGCAAAGCAGATACAAGTTGGAGAAGCGTGGCCATGGTGAAGTGGGGCAGGAAGACTCGGGGCCTGCAGGAGCTTGCTGGTTAAGGATGTCTGATAGTGGGTTGGGGCTCTGCAGAGCTGCACTCACCAAGCCTGAGCTCCTGTCCAAGCCCAGCAGGCTCAGCGCAAAGTGCACACAGTTGTAGCGCGTGGGGTGATAAGTAGGGGGATCCATGGTCATGGCCTCACGTACTCGACGCTCCAGCCCCGCGTGGTCCACGCCACCACGTCTCCGCAGCACGCGCCAGAGCTGGCGGGAGCGCTGCAGCGCCCGCTGCCCCTGTTTGCACACCACGCCTTCCCAGGAGCCCAGGAACTGGTGCAGGCCACTGCGGCTGGGACGCTTACCTGTAGGGATCACCAGCAGACGCAAATAGAGCCAGCGGGGCCCAGTGACTCCTCACTTCCTCCATCCAGTTTCCATGTTTCCTCATGACCTGAGGGCTGTCCAACCACCCCGCTCTTCTGAGACCCCAGATCTTTATCCTGGTGTAACCCCCCACCGGTGGGCACCCTGTAGCCTCACCCTCAAAGTGGATGATCTCTCCATGGCCGCAGTAGACGCCCACGTGGGCCCCGCACCAGTGTCCCACGGGGTTCAGCAGCTTATACAGGAAGAGGTCTCCAGGCTCAGGCTTGTTTGCCTCCATGTCCACAGCCTCAAACTGCTGACCAAGGAAGGCCTCAGAGAGGAAGAATTTAATGGTGTTGATTGCCCCAGTCATGGTCTGAAGGAGAGAGGGACTGAATTGCAGGTTGTCAACAAAGGCCAGGATGAGAGAGGAGCTCCCTCATCCTCTGATCATGGCTGGGGACTAGGCCTGGGGTTCAGAGAGACCAGACTTGGGGCCCCACACTGTCTCCCTGTCCTCAAGGGACTCCAGAGGCTTGAACATCACAAATACATTCTGGCCTGAGTCACCTCTGAGAACACCTCAGGTCTTGGCAATTGGAACCTCCTTGCCATGCACCCCATTGCCAGGCTCCTCTCCCCGACCATCTCCCATTTTGCCTCTCCTGGAATCAACTCTGGGCTTGGGTGCCAGCTGGTACCTGGGTTGAGGAGGAAACCTGAGGAGACAGGAAAACCTGGGTGAGGTCAGGCCCTTCCCCCCATGTCCAGCAACCTTGGCAGCAAACATCAAATCTACAAAATGACTACAGTATCCTCATTTTTAGGATCAGAAAATTGAGGTTCCCAGGCCTCACCAGTGTGTACACAGCTTAGGTATTGTCATGTTAGCTTAGATTTCTCCTGTCATTACAGGGACTGGAGAGCTTTGAGGACCTAGGATAGTCCCATGGGCTGGACTATGCCTAAGCTCTGGCCTCAGAGCCTGGGAAAGTAGGTGGAGGAAGAGACTACTGAGGCCCTGAGCCCTACCATGTGACAGGAAGCCTGGGAGTGGGAATCTGGGGATCTTTGTGGAAGGTGATCAGTCTGACTCCAGCAGGCCTGACTGGGGTGGAAGACTCAGGTACAAGTGAGGAACTTCCCAAGACCACACTGCAAAATGCCAGCCACCGTGTAGCTGTCATTCTCCGCCCTTCTAGTGCTGGTCCAGTGTCCTCTACTTCTGACTAGGAGCTGTGGAAGAGTCAGGTAACCAATTCATCCTGTTCTGTCTGTGACTTGCCATGTTTCCAAACTGAAAGTCTCACATCTTAGAAATGTAGGAAACCTTGGGCAGTTGGCTGTCTGAGGCTCAGGTCTCTCTCCTTCCATCTCCCTTAACCTCAGAAGGCTGCAGGGACAACCCATCACATGAGCAGCTCTTTGATCTTAGGTCATGTTCTCCTACCAACCACCACGTAGGGAAGGTATCTTTCTTCCTGCTGCCGTCTCCCCCATTCCACTGGGCCAAACAGGGTCTCAGCTGTGGAAGAGGGTGACCACCCTGGCCCCGCTGAGGCAGCAGGCCTCTGCCTGAGGTGAAGACAAGATGAACCAGGGACTTCCACTCCAATTACCTGGGAGCTGAAGCTCATCTGGGGAGAGGGAGAAAGAGAGAAAAGCCATTACCACCTGGCCTGCCTGCTCAGGGCCTGCACTATACCGTGGCCTGTCTGTTGGCATGGTGGCAGCTGATCATACATGTGTGCACCCACAGTCTGCCCAGGAACGCTGTCATAGTCTGAAAGACCTAGTTTTGGCTATACTACCTTTTTATATGGGATATCAAATAAGCCATTGTCTCTCTCTGGGCCTCAGCTTCCTCATCTGTGAACTGGGGATAATGAGGTTTGACTACTGGGCATCACAGGATTCATGTACTGCTTTAAGAACTCTTTGTTAGCTGGGTGAGGCAAGAGGGCAGGTTTGTCAAACTATGGTCTGCTCCTGAGCGTGCAGATTTGGGTGCAAGAGAAGGGGTGGGGAGAATACATCTTTCTCAGCTCAGAGGAGAAGAACAATGAGCCCTCAGAGGCTGATGGCCTCCCTCTGACCCCTGCCCCAGAGCTCAAAGGGAATCACCCAGCTGGAAAGACCCGGGGGGGGGGGGGTGCAGGGCCCCACCCTGACTCTTCCTGTGAAAGTTCACAGTGTGGGTGGGTCGACAGGCACTTTGGCTACTGTGAGCTGGGCTTCAGGACTTTGAGTCAAGATGTCCCTTCAGGCCATTTATAAAAGGAGCAAAAATATCATCATTGCAGTTCAGCATATGAGTTCACTTCTCTATCTCAGGTATGAATATCATGGGAAAGATTAAAATACATTCTATGTTGAAAAAGATACCACTTCAAATAGGGGACCTAGTGTTCACATGGTCATAGCATTTATTGCCGGTGACTGCTAGGGCCCCACTTAGCCCTGACCACAGTGTCACGGAGATACTGCTGTTGTCATCCTCATTTTACAGAAGAACAAACTGATGCTTGAGAACATTGCTAAGGTTACAGGCTAGGAGGTGGCAGAACCAAGATTTAAGCTGAGGTGGGCTGGCTCCCTAGCCACTGCACAGGATGACTGATCTCACACTGCTGCCATGGAGGGCCACCACTAGAAGTACTGACCCCTGTCCTTCCTGGCCTGCAGAAACAGTCACCTTCCATTTGGCTTTCATTTAGCTAAACACTGTTCCCTTCCTAATAAAGAATGGGAGAAAGGCCGCAGAGCTGTAAGAGCCCACAGGACAGTGTCCCAATCTCGTAGCCCCTAGCTGACAGCTGCCCATCCCACTGGGGGTCTCTGTTTGGGGACCTGAACCCCCTTCATCTCACTTTGACTAAGTCCTTCAGCAGAACAGAGTAGTGGGTGTGAAAGGCAGTTTCTCTGGGATCCAGCACCCTATCTTTTCAGGCAAGGCCCTTGCCTCAACACAGTAAGGCCCTGTCCACTTCTTTTGTGGGGCCTTGGTGGCAGCCCCCCGCCATGATCTGGCCTGATCTTCCGTCTTCCTCCCTTACCCCTCAGCCCAGTCCTGGACAAAGGGTGGCTCTGTGGAAAGCAAGGCTTTGAGCTCAGGGCTCCCAGCCAATGTCACCTTCAGCCAGAGTACTCTGCTGGTGTAGAGGAGGCAGTGTACCTGCTCCAGCCCTCTTTCCTCCTTGGGGCTTTGATCCCACCTGAATCTGAGTCTCCAGCCCAAACAAACTCACCGTGCTGTGTTTAGCAGCCCAAACATCCACACCTTGAGAGTCGTTCTTCTGTGGCGAGAGCAAGGAAAGCAAACTATCCTTCCCTCTGGCAGATAAAGGGGCCAAGCAGGAAGGCCTGGAGCCCTTTAAGGCATCACTGCCCCAACTGGTCTGATGGCTGCAGCTCCTCCCTAGCAGGGCTGCAGTCCAGGTGCATAACTGATGTCCTCTTTCCCCCCATTCTGATTTGATTCCTACCCCAGCCTTGCTCTCAGCACCACCCCTCAGCTTTCACGGGCCGGGCCTGCAGGGTGCTCAGTCACCTCCCTGCTATCCCCTACTGAGGTTAGTACAGTACACAACTTCAGTCCTCTAAATCTAAGGAGGTTTGTTTTATGGGTTAATGTGTACTGCTAAACACAGCATCCACAGTTGCAAGTGTGTATTTTGTAGATTAGGGTGTAGTATTCTGTGCGCATCAATTAGGTCAGGGTGGCTGACAGTGTTCAGATCAGCTGTGACTTTGCTAATTTCTTGTATCGCTTTTCTGTCAAGAGAAAGAGAATATTGAGATGACTATGATTGTGAGATTGTCTATTTTTTTCCTTTAAGTCGGTCAAGGATTTTGTTAAGTCTTTGTGATGAACTAACCTTTTATTATCATGAATATTCCTCTGCATCTCTGCTATGCTTGAAGTCCTTTTTATCTGCTAATACACACATCATTTCCATCCGTCTCTTCTCACTCATTTACTTTCAATCGATTTACGTTTTTATATTTGTTTTGGAGGCAGGATCTCACTATGTTGCCCAGCTCAGTCAGAAACTCTTGAGCTCAAGTGATCCTCCCACTTCAGCCTCCCAAGTTCCTGGGACTACCAACAGCTTATGCCTCAGGTAGAATATAATTGAGTCTTGCTTTTTACGTTCATTTGGGTCTTGTCTGCCTTTTTACACTAAATATGTAGTTTAGTTTTACACTAAATATGTACTGATTTAGATCTACCATTATTCATTTGTTTTGTTTTTCCTTCTTTTTTTTGTTCCTTTGTTCTCCTGAATTAAGAATTCAATTTTAATTATTATTGATATTTAACTATCTCTCTTTTTTAGTGGTTTCTCTAGGGATTATAACTACTTAACTCTTTTTTTTTTTTTTTTAAATTTTATTTAAGGAGAAAAGAAAAAAAAAAGCAAAGAAAGGGTACAAGTTATACAGATTTGCAGAAAAAAAAATGAACAGTAGGAAATCACTAGTTAATGGATTACATATTGTCATCTTAGAAATAATTGTTCAAGTCACAAAATTAAAGCTTGTAAAGTGGACATTCCATCAATGATACTGCAAACAGTTCTGTTCAATGATCCAATAAAACTCTGTGATATCATTTTCCATCCTATACACTTAAACATACATGCAGTTATATAGTATAGAGCACTTTCTTTTCCTCTCTTTTGTACAATAACAATTACACATTTTGGGTTTCATTGCTCCCATGGTTCTTATTACTTTTTTGGAAGAGAGTAAAACCAAATGTGACATAACAGAACAGAATCGGTCAAGTCAAAAGGGTGGACATAATAGATAATGTGAAAACATAATACAAGGTGATCAACAATCGTTACCATAATGCCTCCCGCTATCTCTAATAGAATTGCCTATACCATTAGTTATAATACAATTGAACAAAACAGTAAAGAATAAAACCGACAAAACCAAAACACTGGAGACATTGTAGGTCTTCAAAAATAGATAAAAGTCAACGAGAATGGGCGTTATAATGAATCTCATTATCTTCACAGCTGATGCCTAAATTTTCGAACCTGATACTATCCAGCAAAACAGAATAGGGGAACCTCAGTCAAAAACAAGATGGTGAGAGTAATACAGGGCTTCAAATCGAGATAATAGAAAGTCAAAGTGGGTTACTATAATATATCCTGCTATTTTTTTCCTTTAATTAAAAGGATAAAAATAAAAAAGTAAATAATGGAGTGGAGATTGAGATAAAAGAGGGCATAACAACGAAACAGCACAGATCAAAACATAACCATTTAAGCAGAATAGTGTTTCACCACCAGATAATCCTGACCTAAAAGTAGTTACCATATTATCTCTTTCCTTGAAATCCTTGAGTACAACTTCGTATACTGCAGGATTAAGTATATCAAAACAATGTAAAACCATTTAAGAGAATGACAGCATTACAGAGTATTTAGAATCGACTAACAGAAAATGAACAATGGTTTCTGTATAATCTCCTTGTCTTTAAAAGGTTTTTGCTTATACTATCGTACATAATAAAATCCAGTAAGATACAACCTATTTGGACCATTGGAGACAGAAGGACAAAAGCTAGATGAGACTTCAAAACAAGATGATACTAAATCAGTATTACCTATTAAGATGTCATTTTCTCCAAAATAGCTGTTCCTATCATCCAATCTTCTCTGCCTCATTTCTGTTGAGCTCTTATTCTGTCAGTAGCTGTCAGTTTGTCTTCTTCACTTTGTTCTCTGCTCCATTCGTTGTGGCCTCCATTATTTCAGGACTCTTTGTATTTTTCTTTTTTTAGAATATCCTGCAATACTCTCTGTAGAGTTGAATTGGTGGTTGCAAATTCCCCCAGTTCCTCTTTATCCTGGAAGCACCTTGTTTTTCCATCAATTTCCAGGGACAGTTGTGCAGGATATCTCAATCTTGGCTGGAGATTATTATCTTTCAAAGCTTGAATTATTTCCCCCCACGCTCTTCATGATTTGATGGTTTGTGCAGAGAAATCTGCTGTAATTCTGATGGGTGCTCCCTTGTAAGTGGTCTGTTTCTTGTCTCTGACAGCTTTTAATATTCTGTTCTTGTATTGAATTTCTGGAATTTTTATTATTATATGCCTGGGTGTTGCTCTGTTTGGGTTGTAGGTAGCTGGGGTCCTGTATGCCTCATACATCTGAGTATCTTTACCTTTTGCTAAATTAGGAAAATTCTCCTGGATTATTTCTGTGAGTAGCTTTTGTAGTTCATTTGTTTGTGTCCCTACTTCTTCTTTTATGTTCTTAATCCTTAAGTTATGGATCCTCTTATCATCTTCTTGTCTTTGTATTATTGCTGTTTGTTTCTTTGTTATTTTTAAGAAGTTTTTCATTTCATTCTCCCATATTACAATTTTGCCCTCCAGTTCAGATAGTCTGTCCTTAGTTTCTTTCAAGCTGTTATGCCAGGCTTCGATAGACTTCTTAGTTTCTTGGTAGTCCCTTTGAACCTGCTTCACGTATTCTATGCTTTCTCTGTTTTCTCCATCAAACAATTCTCCCCTCTTTTTCTGTTCTTCCATTCCACCATCTGTTTTTTCTTGGGTGGTGCTTAGCATTTCTCTAACTATTTTGCATACTTCTAGCTTCAGGTCGTTGATAACTTCATTCCTGAATTGGTCTATGAGGCTCTCTATGTGGCGCCTTATGTGTAATGGTGCGGTGTCTGCTATTGCCTGTTTCTCAGAATTGGGGGCTGAGGAGCCTTTCTTGTTGCTGCCTCTTCCCATATTCTCTGTTCCTTATATATGCAAGCTTATATGAGAGGCCCAGCTTCTCTCCCTGTCAGCCACAGCCTGATCGAATTGCGCCAGTTAGGTGTTCCCACTCACCGCTGCGCACCAGGCAGCCTACGCGGGGCCCGCCCCTCCCGGCCACCGTCAGGCTCTGGGATCTGGGTTAGGCCAGCCTACGGGGTCCGCCGGCAGCATCACGCAGGCCAGGCACTTTTCACCAATCCCGCCCGAGAGGGGGATGTGTGGCTGGAGTCCCCACCGCGCCCTGCTCCCACAGGACTGCTCGGGCCCAGAAAGTCCGCTGGAGTCAAACTGTGGTGGAGTGTCAGTTTCTCTCACTTACCTCGCCACAAGTCAGAACATGCCTCCCTGCCCGTCCTGTTTTCGACTCCGTTCGCAGACTCCCGTTCTCAGAGTTTCCGTGCGTCTCTCTCCTTGCTGAGCCGATGTAGAGGCAGCCAGCCACCGCGCGGCGGGAAACCCAAATGGCGTGGGGTCCAGCCTCAGCAGCGAGGCTTTTCTGTTCCTGTTTTAGCACCAGGACTGCATTCCAAGTTGGTTACTCTCAGCCGAGTTCGTTCCTGAGTCAGCAGAGCATAACTCCACCTGCTTATGTCTCTTTAGTCCGCACTATACCTGGCTTCTGAGCCTAGTTTTTAGAGAGCCTCCGGTAGTTGCTGTTATCTGTCCGCCATGTTCTCCCGGAAGTCCAACTACTTAACTCTTCACAGTCAACTTATAGATAATAGTGCATAATTTACATAAGTGTAGAAGCCTATGACAACATAGATTCACTTGCCACTATTCTCTTCGATGCTACATTTGTCATATGTATTATATCTGTATTTAATATATAACACAAAGTAATAATTTTTACTTTAAACTGTCCTATGTGTTTTAAAGAAATGTTTACCTAAATGTTTCCCACTCCAATCTTCTTCACTAATTTTGGAAGGTCTAAAATTTTCTCTTGCCAAGTGTGGTGGCACATACCTGTAATCCCAGAATTTGGGAGGCTGAAGCAGGAGGATCACTGTAAGTTTGAGTCCAGCCTTGGCTACATGGTGAGTTCAAGGCCAGCTTAACTTACATAGTGAGACCCTGTCTCAAACAAATAAATAAAATTTTCTCAGATATCGATTCCCTTCAGGCTGAAGTACTTCCTTTGGTATTTCTGGGTACAGATTGGTTGATGATAAATTCTCCATTTTCTTTTATCAGGAAATATTTTCATCTTACCTTCATCCTATTAGACATACAATTCTGTATTACTATTCTTATGGCTCCTTAAAGATTTTTCTCCACTCACATCTGAACTTTATAGTTCTGGGTGAGATGTCAGTAAGTGCACCATCCATGTGTTATCTTTGGCTGCTTTCGAGGTCTTCTCTTTATTTTTGCTTCCAACAGTTTACTTATAATGTGCCTAGTACTGATGTCCTCATATTGATCTTCTTGTGGTTCTCTGAGATTTTTTTGTTTGCAGCACTGGGGATTGAACTTAGGGCCTCACATGTCGGTCACAGCTCTCTATTACTCAGGTACACTCCCAGTAGTTTCGAATTTTATTTTGTGACACGAACTCACTAAATTGCCCAGACTGACCTTGAAACTGCAGTCTCCTGCCTCACCCTCCCCAGTATACCCCATGCCTTTAACTCAAGTAGAAAGGGCTTGATCCCCAGTGCAGCATGTGGGCCTAGAG